CTAGAAAAATCATCAGTAAATGTAAGAAAATACCTTGCATTTCCGAGAGAGTTCACCTCCATAGGTCCACATATATCTGAGTGAATGATTTCTAGCAGTTGACTTGCCCTGGAACCTTCACTTGGAAATGGTGACCTTGCCTGTTTTCCTTTGATGCACGGTATGCAGGTTAGCTCGCTGGTCTGAGGTATTTTCACACCCTCAGTGTGGTCTTTCAGCTTCTTCATGTCATTGTAGTTCAGATGAGCTAGTCGCTGATGCCAGAGATAAAAGTCATCATTAGTTGTTGACAGAAATGCTTGCACGGAGACAACATTCAGCTTATACATATTATTAACAAGTGTTGCCATTGCAACTTCAACATTATCTTTGTTATACAAATAACAACCTTTACAGTCAAACTTTACATTACATTTATTATTCACAATGTTACTGACTGAGAGAAGATTGGTTGATAACTCTGGTACATAAAGGACATTTGTTACCTGTATTCTGTTTGTAGATCCGTTTGTGCTTTTAACATGAATGTTCACCTTACCACAGGACTCGACTCGCAGCTCCTTGTTGTTGGCTACTCGGATAGTTTTGATTGGTGGTGGTTTTTCATCATAAATCCAAGCCCTATTCATTGTCATGTGCATTGCTGCGCCTGAATCCACATACCATCCGAAATCATAGCTAGATGTTGCTGAGAAAACGGCTACAAAAGAGTTATCACTTTGTTTCTTGTTATTCTTCACTTTACAGTTTTTGCCGATGTGTCCGTACTTGTTACAAGTATAACATCTTGGCCCTTTTGACTTTTGTTTGATAGGTTGCTTATTATTCTTGCTCTTGTTTACAAAGAATACACCTGGATCACGATTTTTCACTTCCTGTAACAGTTTACTTTTAATTGAGTCTGCTGTTATGGCCACACCGGAGCTTTCTATTGCCATAATCATTGGCTTGTATTCATCAGGGAGTCCCGCAAGTAACAACGTGCCTAGCCACTCGTCGTCGACCTTGAACCCGATGTTCCGAAGCTTGTGTGCCGTAGTCATGATCTTGTTCACGTATTCTTCAATACTTTGACAATTTTCTAGTGTTGTCGTTATGAGGTCTCGTAGCAATCCAACTCGACGTGTCAGCCCCGAGTCATCAAAAGCTTTACAGAGCTTTTCCCATACTTCTTTAGCACTGTTGGCTTCCTGAACGTGGACATAGTTGATGGGATCAACTAGAAGTATTATTTTTGACTTCGCCTTGACGTCTTTCTTTAGATCGACCTCACCGGTGCCTGATACGCATTCCCACAGATCCTCATGCTCCAAATACGTCTTGACTGCGAACTTCCAGCTTGCAAAATTATCTCTGCCGGTCAATCTTTCTATCAGGGTCATATTGTTCATGTTGTTCGAACCCATAATTTTCTAGAAAAATCGATGTCAGGCCGGTTTGCAAAGTGAGTTATATGCAATCTCAAAACTATTCACGGAATTTAATTTATCTTTCAATGTTTCAGCATCCTGGGCCCATAACCTGATGAATTAAACGACGATTTGAAAGATATAAATAGTTTTATTTAGTAGCTTGAGAATTTACAACATGTTTGTATGGATGCGTATTGCAAAGAGAAAAATGACAAGCGCAAAAGGCACAGAGTATAGAACGGTGGTCATAGACCATTTCATATTATCTATGCTACACTATAGTAGTCGAAAAAGGCGACAAATTTAAAACATGTAACAGATATCGCAGTTTAAAAGGTTAAGGCAATGATATTATAAGTATAATAGTGTAGATAGGTTACATAAATAACATTCGATTTTCAAAAACGGCACACTGATGCACACATGAACAATTTGTATGATTAGACGTCAAAGTGGGATGGCATGATTCAATAATCGCGAGTGAAAAAGAGACAAATATAAAAAGTGTTGCTAGTAGCCACATTTTAATGTATCACTTGCTGAGCGCTTGTAACCTATCTATACCTTTTTATTTATCATTGGGTTCAGGTTTGTTAGGGAGGACTTGTCGTCAATTTTTCACTTCTGGAAAGAACAGGGTTGTCGATTGCCATATGGCAAAACTTCTCCTAATTACTGATCACCCGTAAGACCAGTTTCACGTTGGTATTCTGTGAGGCCATGATGACCTTTCAATCGTAGTAATTTGAGCCACAATAGAAGAATAATAGGTGCGATAACGCCGGCGTTCTTTTAGGGTTTGGTGAATTAGGTAATGTTACTTTCTTTTGTAGATCAATTAAATTAAAGTTTTGTTCTATAATTATTTCTATTTTGTTTTTACAAATACCGCGAATATGAACGCATCCTAATCCAATATGGCGGTTGTGGACAATTATCTATTTCCACTATATTGGTAATGGCCGCCATGACACCGCGATTGCCGCGCACTCGACTTGTATTTATAGCGTATGCGTACAATCATCGCAACAGTTGCAGCATACATTATTTGGGTTTTTAATCATATTTTCTATTTATTCACGATAAAACCAGCTAGTCTCGCGCGGTTTCACTCGCTGTTCGGCTCCTATACAGATCGTAGTATTTTTTTATATCCTATAGCGCTCCGGAACATTGTAGCTATCTATATCAGTGAAAGAATTTTGGAAATCCTACTAGCGTGTTCAAAGATTACCACCTACATACAAGATACCACGGCCTCACAGAAAACCGGTGTCAAACAACCTCAGCGTTGTGTTTCGCTGTGTGAGGTTGACAGAGGCCCAATCCTTCCCCAATCGCTAAATCTCCAAAGGCAAAAAAAGTGTTACGAGAGCGTTGCCGATTTTCGGGGATTAGCCCCCCGAAAAGTCGGTAACGCACTCGTAACTCTGGTTGGCAACAACGAAAGAGTTAGAGGGTGTCCTTTGGCGGCGCTGATTGCTTACCATCAGTCTGTTCGTTTGTCGAACTATCACATAAAAAATTACAAAACTTCTTTATAATGTTAGTACTTATAGATAAAATATTCAATAATAATGACACTTTCATAAATCGAGTTTACGATATAATTAAATTTTATGAAATACATTTTTATGTTATTTGACGCTACAACAAACGAAAGTTTCTTATAAAATCATAAAGAATCCTGTTTTTTAAGTGAGGGGAGGCATATGATCTGTCACCTTACCTTTTAAATAACACCAGGCAAGTTACGAGTGCGTTGCCGGCATTTTGGTAATTAGGCTTAGCCTAGCCTTTAGAGATTGACCTTGATTTCCTGGAGGATTGGCCCTCCGATAACCTCACTCACACTACACTCACACAACGCTGTGGTTGTTTCACGCTTGTTGTGGTTGGACGTTTTTGACCATTCGAAATAATTGAGCTTGACAAGATGTCAAGGAGCTAATTATGATTCTCTTTAAATAATTCTATTATTCCTACTAATATTATAAATGTGAAGGCTTGTGAGAAAGTATATGTATGTATATTTGTCATTCTTTCACGCAAAACGTATGGGCCGATTTGGTTTTAATTTGGTATGTAGGATAGGTGATATACGTCGTGATGGCCCCGAGGTTAAGGAGCCCGCTTCTCATGCATGAGGGTGTGGTTTCGAAACCTGGCAATTACCAATGTGACTTTTTCCGAGTTATATGTACTCTCTATGAATATTTAGACACCACTGATATACGGTGAAGGTAAACATCGTGAGGAAACCTGGACTTATAATTTCTAATTATAAGTCTGTAATCGCCAACCCGCATTGAACAAGCGTGGTGATTAATGCTCTAACCTTCTTCGTATGAGGAGAGGCCTTTGCTCAGCAATGGGCACTTATAGGCTGGTGATTATGATAGGTGATACTCTTAATTAACACATAGGTTAAAAGTAATAATATTCTGGGCATGGTTTTGTTTCAAAAAATTAATCAAGCAGTGTATAATGAATCATAAATGTCGCCGCACTGACTCATGTTTCTATACATAAACAGTTTTATAAATGGTTACTTATTTAAAATAATTGATGACGTCACTGGTTTACAAATTCTGAACGTGAACTAAATGGGTTTTGGTTGACAAAAGTTAAGGATTCATTAGTAGGAACCACCCTTGCTCATTATTTTCGGACTATCCAAAATATTTTGGCGAAATTAAACACTACTTAATCTTACACTTTTATTATAGTAAATGCATTCGTGTGTAGAGGTGAAATTAGGTAGCTTGGTTTTAAGCTTCGTATAAATAAAATATATTGTTCAAAAATCTGTATTTTCTGTACTAATATAATAAAGAGGTAAAATTTGTATGTAGGGGGTAATATTTGGAACAGCTGGTCGGATTGCCAAAATTATATATTATAAATATAGTCGGTCGGATTGCCAAAATTATATATTATAAAATTATATATTATAATATATCTTATATAGAAAGATAGCTACAATGTTCCTAAGTTCTATAGGATATAAAACATCACGCTACGATTGAATGGAGCCGAGCAGCGGGTGAAACCGCGTGAGTGTAGCTAGTATGAGATATAACGGCAAACAAGTTCACTGATTACCTGATGGTAAGCAACCGGCGCCGCCCATAAAACAACGGAGAAATTACGATTGCGTTACAGGATATTTAGGAATTAAGGTTCTGCAGATTAAGCAATTGGGGAAGGGCGTTGGCAGCCTCACTTATACAGCGAAACTCACCGCTGTGATTGCTTCAAGCCGGTTTTTTGTGAGGCCTGGGAATCACTCCGGTCGAGATGACCATGATCGTCATCATCATCTTCCGCAAGATGTCCACTGTTAGACAAATCCTCCCCCTTAGTCTTCCACGTGAAAGGACAAGTCGCCTCCTGTATCCATTAGCTCCCCGCAACTCTGAGGATGTCGTTGGACCACTGGATCACGTAGCGGGAGGCCTGCCCACGCTAATACACGAGACCTATTCGTGCCGAAGCTTAACTCTTGAAAGAAAAAAGAAGAACCAGACTCGGAAAATGTCAATTTTTTTTTTTTTCATTAATAATTTTGTGTATTTCTGTTTGCAGATAAATCTCTATGGATGGTGAACACCACTGGTATGACGATGAACGATTATACCAATCAAGAGACAGCGATGAGAGCCCCATCTTGTCTCATAGGTAAGTTCAACATCACATGGTACTACGAACAATTTTAGCCTTTAGCTCCTTCGATAAGTGGCCTGTCCAACATAAAAGGAACTAGTCATTTCAAATCAGTAGTTCCAAAGGTCGTAGAAAAGTAGTCTTCTGCATTATAATGCCAATATAGACGAAGAAGAATACAAGAAATTATGAGAAAAGATCATATTTATGAATTACATGACTTTTTATTAGCCAAAAGTGCCCCACTGCTGAGCAAAGGCCTCTTCTCAGACGTAGGTTTGAGCATTAATCATTACTCGTGCTCATTAGTGATTGGAACATTGTAATTAGAAATTATAGGTCCAGGTTTCCTCATGATGTTTTCTTTCACCATAATAATATGTTAGTGGCGTGTGTCACACTTAAAAAGCACATGTAACTTAGAACAAGTCACATTGGTACTTGCCAGCTTTCGCAAGCAGAATACGATCCTGGCCCGAAGCAAGTGAAGGAACTGGGGTTTTTAGTCAGTAAGAGTCTGATATTCCCTCTAGCCTTACCTAGGGCGGACGTACCTCAAAGATAGACCAATCGACAGCAGTATGTGTGTAGAAATGACAAGTCTACAACTTATTAATATAATAAAGAAGTATACAGTAGTTTCTGGCGCTCTGTACCGCGGGGCTAATGTAACATTTATTAGCTTGGACCTTTGAGTTTATCTAAATTTTTTTACATATAATTTTGACGTGTAAAAGTCCTGTTTTATGGCCTATTTACGAAATAAATTCATTGTTTCATATGTGCACTTTCTCTTTTCTTTTCAAAGTCAAAGTCAAAATCATTTAGTTCAATTAGACCCAGGCACTTTTGAACGTCAAACAAAATTTTAAAGATATAAAGTGTCAGTCTGTCGGTCAGTCCTCTTAGTGAAGCTATTCGCTCGTTCCAAAGTGTAGATTCCGATGGAGAAGAACAATTTTCTATCAAGTTTTTTTTTATATTTATCTGAAATTCCAATGAAAATAATGGACTGATTTTAATCTACCTGCTGGCAACTGTTGTTGATGCAAGGAAAGAAATACTCTGAACATCGATAATAAAGAAATTGAGTTCTAAATGATTGCTCCTTTGACCTTGTACTTAATAAATTGACTGTCAAACTGCCCGAGTTCGGGATAATAATCTAATTGTCGATTTTACAATTAACCTATTAGCCGTCAATTTCAAAAGAGGTCACATGCTTAGATGTTATATTATTCTTTCCATCGTCTGGACTTGAAAAGAGACGGACCTCTGAGTTTGTTTCGGTATTTCTTCTCAGAGTAGTCAGATAGGAACTGCCGGCTTCATCTAGTTTTGCATATATAATTATGAACGATAAGTTATGACGTCTGAAAGTGCCAAATGACTGAAAAAATCATCAAATGACTTTTGCCCAAGCAAGCTGAAAGGGAGTCAGACTCTACTGGCTAAAAACCATTGCGCTTGCTCCGCTACCCTGGATTAAGTTAGAGTTAACAAAGTTCGCAAAGACGGCAGTAAAACAATATATTTTACCCTGACTGCAAAACTGCGATGCCAAACCCACCTCGGGGTTGCGGGGTAGGCGCAATAGGCACCGCGACCTCGGCCCAGAGCAGGAGAAGGAACAGGGGGTTTTTAGTCAGTAAGAGTCTGACACTCCCCCGAGAAGTCATTTGATGATTTTCCCCTCACAAAAAAAAGCCCACCTCCTAAACTTAGAGATTAAGTCTAACCCCTATTGAAGAGTCCAGCTTTGGACTCAAGGGCTATTGATGTGACCTAAGTAAAATTTGCCATTCCAGATATGACAAAACCCGTCATTTATCACCATACTCCTCGCCGAAGTTCGAGGATCGGGAGAGACGGTCCACCCTGACATTGCTGGCCAAGTTCTTTCTCTTCTGCACAGCCATGATACTCTTCTGTGTCCTTCTGTATATACCTGTTTATATTAAGGCCAACGATCAAATTTCTAAAGGTAAGTTGCAAGAATAGTTGATCTCGTGTCGTTGTGTGATTTCACTACAGAATTATTCGAGGTGAATGCAGATTTTTTTGTTCTGGATTGTATATGTTAACTAGTAATCCGTAAAAGATACTAAATTTATTCACTATTTAATGGCTATTATTATACATATAAACCTTCCTCTTTCATTATGCTATCTTAAAAGAACCGTATCAAAATCCGTTGCGTAGTTTTGAAGGTTTAAGCATACATATGGACATAGGGACAGAGAAAGCGACTTTGTTATATACTTACTACTAGCGATAGTTGAGTACTAAAAAAAACCTCCCCTAAACGCGAATTTACCTTGTTCCTTGTTTCTTTCATATTTGCTGATATTTCTATTGATTTGTAGCTACAGTCGCGGGCTGGTCGATGCACACAAACCGCGATACAAAAGTGTACATACAACCCAACAACGTGACCACGATACACGCCCCAACAGACATTTGTACGAAAAAACAAAAAGACAAACTGTTCCTACTCATAGTGGTATGCTCAGCCACCGTCCACTTCGACAGGAGACAGACCATCAGAGAAACCTGGGGCAACTACAGCACGTACAAACAAATGTCCAAACTGTACAAAGCTGTCAGGCAGAAATACGCCAATTACAATTACACATATGACCTGTACACGGAAGCCTATGTTAATAGAGCGTACTCCAGGGTGAAACGATACATATCCGGCTTTAACCAGCTGCTACCGGGACTGGCTAAAGCCTTGCAGGAAAACCTAGTGAATGAGAAGACTGATGATAAAGTACCTGAAGAAAAGAGGTTCGATGATGACGTAATGTTGCCAGAATTCGACATGAACGAACAATTGGGGGATCAAACCGAAGCTAATTATGATTATTACGATACAAACGTTATGAAAATCCCTCCTAGAGGGTACGAGGAATCGCCTGATTTAGAAAAAGTGTTGTCAATGTTAAAATTGAATAAGAATTTTCGGAAAATGAAAGATGAGAATATTGATTTTGGCAACACTGAGGTGGATTATAAGGTTGTGTTTCTGCTGGGATTGCCAGCGAATGATAATGATTCTTATATTCAAAATAAGATCGAGGAGGAGGTCCAGCAGTACGGGGATATCATTCAGGAGAGGTTTATAGACTCCTACAGCAATTTGACCCTGAAGTCTATCATGCTGCTGAAGTGGATCACCAGTAATTGTAACAATAGTGGTGAGTTTTAACATATTTCTTTTAGACAAACGATCTGATGGATCACCCGATGTCAAGCAATCGGCTCCGCACCTTGACCCTTGTAACAGAGGAGTAAGGGTGCATTTTGCAATTGTCTGTGACAAAGCACGTTGTAGACGTCATGTTTTTTATTTCTATTGAATTCACATCATCAGTCTATGTGTTCACTGCTGAGCAAAGGCCTCATCTCACACTGAAAAGGTTTGAGCTTTAATCACCACGCTTGCTCAATGCGGGTTGGCGATTTCAAACTTATAATTGGAAATTATAAGTCCAGGTTTCCTCACAATGTTTGCCTTTACCGTATGTCAGTGGTGTCTAAATAATCATAGAAAGTACATATAACTCGGAAAAAGTCACATTGGTACTTGCCAGGTTTCGAACTTCCTTATGCATGAGAAGCATTTCATACACGAATTTATCTTCATAAATTATCTAAAATAACATAGGAATAATAAGTACAAATATCAAGCCAATAGCCAGAAATGTTATCTAAGGAATAAAATTGTTGCTGTCACTGTCTTATACAAACATTCTGACGCGACAGCATCATAATTATTCCCCAGGTAACTTTTATCTAACCATTGAAAAATCAGCCCTTTCTTTATGTCAAAGAAAACAACGGAATGTTACTCTATGCATATTTATTTTCCAGTTCGCTACATATTGAAGTCTGACGACGATATGTACATCAATGTACCGAATCTCATGGATATACTAAAGAACAAATCGAAGGAATTCGATGAAAAATACAAAATACAGAACTCCAAAGAATATCTCCTTATGGGACATCTAATATGTGGAGCCAGGCCGATCCTTGATTCTAGTAATAAATGGTAAGTGCTTACCTTATATGGGACTAGCTACTCTCGCGCGGTTTCACCCGCTGCTCAGCTCCATTTAATCGTAGCGTGATGTTTTCTAACCTATGGCACTCAGGAACATTGCAGCTATCTATCAGTGAAAGAATTTTGGCAATCCGACCAGCGGTTCCAAAGATTACCCCCTACATACAAACTTACAAATTTTACCTCTTTATAATATTAGTATGGATACGAACGAGCAGACAGACGTATTACCTGATGAAGTATAAGTTACATGGATACCTTTTGGGGATCAGGGTTTCGGACATTCAGGAATAGGGAAAGGATGAGGGGAGGGGATGAATTTGGCCTCCGGTAACCTCGCTCACACGGCGAAACACAACGCTGTGGTTGTTTCACGCAGGTTTTCTGTGAGGCCGTGGTATCACGTCATTCGTGCCGAAGCGTGGCTCTCCCACATTAGGCATTACAGAACTTACATGTTAACCGATTTGTAATAAAAGTTGTATTATGTTTTCAGGTACAGTCCAAAATACATGTACGGCGGTAGGGTGTACCCTAAATATCTATCTGGGACGGCCTACGCGTTTTCATGGGACGCAGCCAACGCCCTCTACCGAGCAGCTCTAAGAACTAGCTACTTCCATCTTGAAGACATATTTATTACTGGTAAGATTGTTTTTATGTGATAATAGGACGGTAGACGAACGGATTATCTGATGGTAAGCAATCAGCGACGCCCATGGACATTCGCAAGAACGAAGGTGTTACGAACTTCCGAGTGCTTTGCAGACCTTTTGGAGATAAGGGATTGGAGGAGAGGAAGGATTGGGCCTGCAGTAACCTCACTCACACGGCGAAACACAACGCTGTGGTGATTTCATGCCGGTTTTCTGTGAGGCCGTGGTATCTCTAGTCGAGTCGATCCGTTCAACAATACCTTCACTAATTAACCGAACGGAGGTGCGTTCCGTATGAGCTTCCCTTGGGCCTTTCAAGTTTTTTTGCTTGCTATATTAATTTTCGTGATGGCCCGGAGGTTAAGGCACGGTTAAGGCTTCGGTGAGGGTTTGGAAGCTGGCAAGTACTAATGTGACTTTATAAGCGCATTAAGACACCACTGACATATGGTGAAGGAAAACATCGTGAGGAAACCAGGATTTAAAATTTCTTACTATAAGTTTTTAATCGCCAATCCGCCTTGAGCAAGCGTGTCATGCTCAAACCTTCTCCGTGAGAAAAGGCCTTTGCTTAGCAGTGGGCACTGATGATGATGTGTGATGGTTGCCCACGCCAGGTATGTGCGCTGCCCGTGCACGTCCACGGCTGATTCCTAGCAACGACTCGAGCTTTTCCTACCAAGCCGGCGTGGGGGACTGGGTCAACTGTAATTGCCGTGCGTACGCGCACGCCACCGAACATCGCATCCCATTGGAGAATATCCGCAGACTGCATCAGCAGCTGCAGAAACCAGATTTACTTGATACGTAAGTATTATCCTACTATTCTACTAATCCTACTATCTTACCAATTCTACTATCCTACCAATTCTACTATCCTACCAATCCTACTATCCTACCAATCCTACTATCCTACTAATCCTACTAATCCTACTATCCTACTAATCCTACCATCCTACTTATATTATAAATGTAAACGTTTGTGAGAATGTATAGATGTATGTTTGTTATTCGTTAACGCCAAAACGGCTGGACTGAATTGGTTGAAATTTGGTTTACCCTGGATTAACACAATAGGCTTTTTATTTACATACCACGCGGGCGAAAGCTAGTATTATGTAGGCGAAAGTTTGTTAATATGGATGGATGTTTTTCACTCTTTTACGTCTAAACTGCTGAACGGATCTGAATGCAATTTGGCACAGAGATAGATTATAGTCTGGAATAACACATAGGCTACTTTTAACACACTGCGGGCAAAGCCGCTCGAATAAACTAGTTTTTTTTTATATTTATCATAGGTCGAGGGTTCGATTCCCTGGTTTTGTAAAATTATGTAACAGTGCTTTTCTTTTTTTTTTTTCGACTATGTTTTTGTTATTTGCTTGTGAGCAGTAGCTGGTTTGACTGTGTAGGGATAAATTTTCATCAAAACGTTAACTGCAATGACAGGATTCTAACATTATAAATGTCCTAAATTTCAGATGTGAAAGAATACGACTCACTCAGGTAAGGAAGGATCGTCTAAAACCAAAAACGCCGCCTAAACGTCTATCTAAGCATTAGTTAGTAGAACACACGAGATTCAACATTATTCCTTCACTGTTATAACTCAATTTAAAATTGCCTTCAGTTCGTAAAAAAACAATGGAAGTTGAACCTTATTGCAAAGGTTTTAAAGTTGTTTATCTCGTTGGTTCTAAGCAAATAACTCGTAGAACAAATTATGCCTTAATATGGGGATGGAATTGATGTATAAAAAGACTAGATGTGGCATGATTTTTTTAAATATTCGCTCACAAAAAAAAAATATTTCATAATTATTTAAATTGAAAACACTTTCTTCTTCTTCTCCCAGTTGTACAGTCTCTTCTGTGCCTTTAAGGTTTAAGTCATTCTGTTTCCTGCATTAAATTTACCGAGGGAAGTGGAAACTATTTCGTTTTTTCTTCTCCTCAAATAATATATTCTGATTTATTTGGCTGCGGGAATCCAAGACAGTCATTTATGTTCCTGGGCCGTACTTCAGTGTTGTATCTACTGTAGATCTAGGCTTACAGGAGCTCCAGCGGTTCTTAAGGTTGTTGAGATCTGAATCGAGTAAAAAATGAAATGATATTATATTTATTTCTGTACATTTGCTCGACAATTCCTATCTGACGACTTTGAGAAACTCCAGAGGTTACAGTTTATACCATAGAAAATAAATACATGAATTATTTTCTTTTTCTGTATCATAGACGAATAAAATACTAGATGGATAATGTCCATACAATATAACGTATAGCGTTTTCAGATCCAAATAACAGATGGCGCTAATACAAAAAACATTAAATTATGAGATTGTGCAGAAAGTGTTCGAAAAAATCATTTGTTTATTATTGAATTTCTTTAATCGATTTTCAATTATTTCATTTTTGTAATTAAGTTGAAAATGTATTAATTGAGTTTCTGACCAAGCAATAGAATTAATAGCTACAATTATTATTTTATGCGTCAAGTAACGTATTTATAAGTTTTTCTTACTTAATTATTTTTTTAAACGAGTAATGTATTAAAATTGTCACATCTAGTCTTTCTTTACATCTACATGGTGGAGTGGGTTGCTATTCTAAGCTCTATGCTGATTACTATAAAGCATAAAATTGATGCGCATGGCATCGCAAATTTATATACGTACCTTGTATTTTAAAACAATATTTTCAAATATCCTTTCCTTAAAAAGAATCTGTAATTTGAACTTTAAATCGTCGCTACTCGAGTTCAATTATCGATATTATTTTCGGATCCGATTCTGGTAATGGATGTCAACAACATCCATAACAATAAATCATTTAAAATCAGCCATATATACTATGATCATGCTAAAAAAATTATCAAAACTACTTTCTTGATTGACCAACAGATTTTAGGTTATATATAAACACACATAGTGGACAAAAACTGGGCAGCTCCTCCACTACAAAACCTGTCCAGTACCAATGTGACTTTTTCCCATGATTACATATCTACTTTCTATGATTATTAAGACACAACTGACATACCTGGAGGAAACCTGGACTTATAATTTTTAATTATAAGTTTGAAATCGCCAATCCGTCTTGAGCTCGCGTAGCTATAGTCTATGCTCAATAACTTTTCTCAAAGTTAAAATAAATAAATTTCTAGAACTATCTTAACACTTTAAACGCTTTGGTAACCAGTGGCCTCCGTAATACCAGAGAGCTTAATCTGCTGTCCAGTCTTTGTCTAATGTGTCTTTTAGGTCTTACGGATTACGTGAGAAAAGATGGAGAGATAAAAAAATATTCTTCTTTGCATTCATATTTATTATTAACTCCAGTGTATTCGTTGATAGTACACGGAACAGTACGTCAACGCTTTGAAACTCGTTGGGGGTCAAAAAGTTATCGATATAGGCTCGAGGTCGCGTATGACCCCAATTCCCTGCAGATAGTTTTACCCTTACCCCTTTAAAGAGTAAAACTCGGGGTAAGTACAGCTAGTGAGAGTAGTTTACCCCGATTGGGGGTGAATTTGGGAAACCGGTTGCCTTTTTATATTAGTTCAGATATGGTTAGGGGTAGATATTAGACTTGGTCTTAGATAAGTAGATACTTTAAGTACACTTTTGGCATTCAGTGATATATAGAGATGTAGCTTTAATATATAAATACTAATTATAATTATAATTGTTGATATATGCCATCGATATTTAATAAGAATCTCATTTTTTTCTATATTTTTTGTTATTTTTTTTTTATATATTTTTTGTTCAGATATAAATAGGTAGATGTTACAATTGGTTTATTGTCAATTTTCTAACTGTTATCTTATTCTTAAGTAATGATTTTGTTCAGTAAACTTTAGCTAAAGATTTGAAAGGTTTAGTATCATTAAATGCTCTTGATGTTATTTTTAAATCAGGTAGTTTCCAACTAGTCAAATTCAATACTTTTATCCAAATGTCAAAAACGATACTTTTCTGTAAAATTATGATGTCATAGTATTTCAAATAGCTTACTTATATCTTAAAAATCGATCTATCGACAGATAGATGAATAAAGTATAGTTAATATTCAATATTTTATTGTATTGAAACGTCGAATTAATTTATTTTTGACCTAGGAAACTACCCAATTCGAATTTCAACATATTGTTTAGCTGGTTTAGTTAATTTAGTTCTCTTTGACAATCAAAGATTTTATAACTTGTTGACAATAAATGGACAAATTATATATAATATATATTAATAAGTTACATATATATTATATTGTTGTGTGCTTCGAATGTACCTGTAATCTATGCTAGCGCGCACATAACCAGGCTTCAATAATTTTCAGCATCTAACAGCTATTTATTAATTTTTTATGCCTTGAATGTGGTTTTCAGAGGTATGAGCTAACAAGTCTAGATTTAAAAATATCAATCTATTCTGACAATAATATTACGTTCTTGATTTAAATTGTATAATTTACCTAGTGTGGTAAATTATACTGTTTAAAAAACAAAATGTTTCGTGCGTTTTACTTACGTGAACAGCTCGAATACTTACAAGTCACACCGGGACTCATATTTATTTTCGAGCAGTTCACGTCAGTAAGCCCAGTGTTTATCAATATAAAAATGGTTTCTCTATATTTTAATGTTCATTTCAAACCTCTGGAAATTGCTCGTTAATGCTAAAATTATTTGTGATTAAATTAATACTTAATTTAACAATATCATTAGAAATTTTATTAATGTGTCTGTTAACAATAAAGAAAAAAAGCGTCGTGAGGAATTTAGACTTATAAATAATTGCTAAACTATAAGTCTGAAATCGCCATGCGTGATTGAACATGCGTGGGAATTGATGCTCATCCCTTCTTCATGTGAGAAGAAGCCTTTGCTCAGCAGTGGGCACTTATACGCTGACAATGTGACGTGACATTCATTCTTTGATATGTGTATCAATCTTTCGAAAGAGGAAAACATTTCTGCTTTACATAATTTTGTTCAATAGTAACAGTTAAAATTTCTAATGATATTTTTTCTCAGACGTAGACCTTTTTTTCTTGTTTTTTTTAACATGTTTTATTTTTCATTTTTTGTTTTTGTTTCGTCCATTTCAGATTAAGGAACATCAACGTAGCTATTCAATGATTTATAAGTTTTTCAAAAAATTTGCCGCTAAACCACAGAATTGTTGGACTTAGTGAAAAACTCCATGTAAAGTAATTTTTTTTTATATTTCTTTTGAAATTACGTTTATTTGAAGGTTCAAGAAGAAAGAAAGTTTGATTATATTTATTGACTTTCCGTTATATTGCATCCTAGAGAGAGTATTTGCTCAATTTTCAAAAAATGGTTGTTGTTTTTTACGTTTTTTTAAATATCTGACTTTAAAATGTCATTATAAAGGTAACTTTTGTCAATTAAATTAGGATCAGTGCAATTTAGACTCGAAAATTAAAGCAATATGTTATAAATTGCAATAATTGGCAAAACTTTATTATATTTATTATAATGTTTTAAAAACAATTTATTTCGTGTTGCCGTTTTATGAACAAAAAAAAAGTTGTAAAACGAAAAATGAAATTATTTATTTTTATTTAATTTATTCTTAATTTAAGCTCCATCACTTTAATGTTACTATTTATAAATATTATCTTATGAAATTCTATGCGTGTACACACGCACACTTTTCTTTTTTTTACAAATCTGCTTGGAACTTTGTCGTTTGTGTTCAAATCATCTACCTTTATTGTTTTTTTTTTTGTATTTGTGTGTTAAAAAAAATCAGCTATCATAGCAGCTATCAGTTAGTTAATATTAGCACAGATCTGCTTACTCTAGTCACGATACATCACCGCGATATTTCGCTGTCCACTTTTAATTTTCTATTTAATGCACTTGCAACACTGGCTAACTTTAAGTAGTAATATATTTTTTCCGTCTTGCTACACTGTGTGTACTTTTTCTATATGTTTGTTTTTATGAATTATTTGTTTTTTTTTTTATTTCATTTATTTATATTTCTTAGTATGTATTAATATAAACTTAATTTAATAAGAATCTCCCACATTTCTCTTTTAATATTAATTATAGCATTATATTACCAGCAAATTCAATATTTTAATATTCTTTAAAAATATATTTACATTTAAGAATCTCGCTTTAAAAAAAACCATTATTTTTTTCCTCACCTTTCATCACAAATTATACGATTTTCGTTGCATATTGATAATTATCTACGTGCCATAAGGACATAATTTAATATAAAATAAGTTGTATATTGAAATAAATATTTTATTACGATTACAATAAATTAATTAAAATTAGCAACTAGATGAAAATATAAAAATGCAATCTCGAAAAGGAATCCTTGTAAAAAAAATGCAAATTTTGTTGCCAGTGAAAAAAAAACACAATAAATTGTTATATAATAATTGTTATATTATAACAGCAGCTATAAATAGTGGTTACATTTCATCGCACAGTATCCTGTGATTCGCGAATAGACAATGAAAGATGTTATATAATATAATCATTTCGTTAGGTATAGAACCAAAAATCGATATGATGCAAGCTACAGGCCATTCAGTTTTAGTGAACTTTTGAACTTTGTGAAAAGAATTGATCATCAGATTGTATGATACAGCAAAGGTGGTTAAATTATAAGATAATGGACGCAAGTAGCGATGCAGCTCGCTTCTGACTGAGGTGAGTGGTGATATAAAGTCTATTCGACGGCGGGAGTCTCTTTTTTTCTCCTGTGTCGTAGGTGAGTTTACAAATATACAATTTTACATACACTTTACACCCAGATAAGAAACAACAATTTGTGGATCTCACAAAGAGTTGTTTCGTGTAGGAATTGAAACCGCGACACGTTGCGCAGCAACCAGT